CACAGCTGCAACCCCCCGCACAGTGTGCAAACACATACACACAGCACAGACACACACAGAGTGCACACAAACACAGCCTGCAAACCTCTGCGCGCACACACACCCCTTGCAAGACCTTGCACACGGATCCACAGAGCTTGCAAACCCCCAAACTCACACACACACGCTCGAAGCTTGCAAACAGGCTGCAAACCCGCACACCGTGTGGGCACATGCAGCTTGCAGCCCTACAAATTTATACATGCATGCACACGCGTACACACCCCCCATGCAAAAACAGCCTGCAGCCACCTGCAAACACACCTCTTGACCAAACACAGCCTGCACATACAGCTCACACACAGAGCACGTACACAAACACAGCATGCATACACACACGCCAACCTGCACACACAGTGCCCCTGCACACTGTCACCTATCCCCAGCACCTGCAGGGATCACGCACACAATCACAGGCTGCTGCCTACAACCCCTACAGCCCCCAAACACTGTCACAACCTGCCAACAGCCTCTTCTCCATCCCTCTGCAGAGCACATGCATTGCAATAGACACACACACATGCATGCACACATGCACACACAGCACCCTGTGTCCGGCTGCGCCACACTGGCATCCCCCAGGCAGGGTCTGTCCCCCCCACCCTCAAAGCAGGGGCATGGGGTGGGTGGTGTCATGGTTGGTCCCCATCCCGCCAGCCCCCGGGCAGCACCCTGGGGCTCCCGGGCTCCTGCTGCCCCACCGAGGGCAGTGCTGGGGTGGAAAGCCCCTCTGCAGGTCCTCAGGGCCAGCGGGGATGTGGGGAGGGTGCCAAGGGGAGTGAGCACTGCCAGCAGGCAGATTTGCCCCCCCTCTGCCTGCAGACCCCAAAAGCTCCCTCTGCCCATCCTGGAAGGTGTTTGGGGCTGGAGATGCAGAGGGTGCGTCCTGCAGCCCAAGGGACCGTCCCGCCCCTTGTGCCTGGGCAGTGGGGACCCTGGGCATGGCATCCCCAACCATGTTCCTCTCTGCCTGCACAGGGGGCCCGGGTCAGCGACCCCGGACGGCAGTGGATGAGAGCGGGGCGCTGGCCTAGCCACACACGCACACCGGCACCATGGACTTTGTCATGAAGCAAGCGCTGGGCGGTGAGTGGGTGCCGTCCCCCCTCCGGGAGTGATGCCAGCCCAGCACTCCGGGGGAGCACGGTGGGAGGGACATGAGAGGGGGGACAGAGCAGCGGGGAGAGCCGCCTGCGGCAGAGAGCTGGAGCCCTCTGGGGCTCCCATTCCCAGCACTGGCAGCGCCTAGCTAGGGAATCCCGGCTCTCCTGCCACTAAGTGGGATTCCCTGGCGGGTCCCCTGGGTGCCAGCGCTGAAGGAGCTGACACCGAACTAGGGCAGCACAGCCAGCCCACGGCACTCCCCAGCCCCGCAGCCTCCAAGAGCCCATCTGCAGCTGGCTCTGGTGTGGGTGGCCCTGGGGATGTCCCCGGTCATCCTT